CATACCGATCCCTGGGCGCAACTAGAAGGGTTTCATCACGGGTCTGTTTGGCCAAGGCAAGATGGCCATGGCTGTGTGTACAATATAGTTTATGTGCTCGTGGTGCTCGCGGGAGCACCTGCACCTTGGCGTTATCAGGGGTGGGCTACGGGATACTACCTCTCCATAGCAATTTTTTTTTTCATCTCCATGTTCGGTGCAGCCAATGGTAGGCTTGTGCCTGTATTCTGATGGTTTTTCGCAAGGGTGACATCGTCCCAGGGGTGCAGCTTCTGGTGATTAGCGATAGCGTAACGATCATCTAGCGGCAATTGGTCCTCGCCAGATGCGACGTTGGGCTGATGGACAAAGTACAAAGCATGTCTCGCCAGGATAGAACACGCCCGAGGAAGACCACAACAAAACAAAAACCCAAGAACACTAGATCAGAACCACGTGGAAAGCCTGTAACGGGCTGGCCGGAGGAACCGCCCGCCAGATGGGTGCGCAGCATCGTCACCAGTCCCATTGTGGCATCACACACCCACGACGGCCTTGCAAGGAGACGGCTGACACATTCTCTATGATCTGTCGTCGTGGGTTTCAAGGTCACACAGATCGAGTTGGCTTGGCAACACAAGCAACAGCCCCTGTCGCCCCTTGGCGTTTCGAGAGCCATGTGCTGGATCGCATCTCGCATCGTGGGGGGGGGGGCCCCGTGTTGCAGGAGATGAACGCATTCCAGCGGTCAACGTGTGTGGAATGGCATGGACATGATGTCACTGGCAGGTTGAGATGAAGGGAAGATAGGTCCACGGTGGAGAGGAGGAGACTTTTCGTTAGCGGGCAGATGGGCTGGTGATGGTCGCATGGATGGGCGAACACGGACCTAGGTACTGTAGATACAGTACAGTGGTTCCCCTGTTCGTTCACATGCAGTGGGCAGCAGGGCCGAAGCGCGTCCACTGGCCGTCGGCGAGTGGGGGGCTCGTGCTCGCCGTGCCTGGTGCCGTGCTATTTTGATCATGGCCTACGGAGAAGAAGAAGCCGACTCGTGGGCTTGACGAGAAAGAAGAACAATACGAGGTGAAGAAGATGTTTTGCTCAAAGTCGAAGGTAGCGAATGGAGTCTGGGAATTTACCAATTGCCACGATGGAAGATCACTCGGATTGTGAAGGCATGCCACCACGTCGCGACAGACCACAGGAGTTGTTGCAGACACCCTCATCAAGATGTAACAGGACGGGGCAAAGGCCAGACGAGGGGGTTTCGTGAGGACGATTCGTGGGAAGCAGCGGAGAGGCGCAGGGCGTTGTTCCGCCAACAGGGGGCGAGCACAGCGACTGGTCCTTGGCCCACGGCCCTTGGCCCACTGCCCTTGGCCCTTGGACCACTGCCCAAGGCGCCCCGTGTTAGCGGCCCCGCCGACGCCGCGCATGTCTCGCCCCAGGAGCCCCTGCCACAGCTCCACCGAAGGCTCCTTCCTCGATGGTCCCCTGTCACTCTGTTTACCAGCCCTAACCCTAACCCTGCACTACCGTGTGCAGCCCTGCCCGGGTCATCACAGCCTTGTTCCGGCTTAGCCTGGTGCTGCCTCCAGCATCACGACATGCTCGACGGCGGGCCTCCATCTCATCTCCCCCAGCCCAAAGACTGGGGCCAGATTAGCGTTGCCCACCCACACTACACCTTCCAGGATGGGAGCCCTGGAAACAGGAGACCACTCAATCACTCACCCGCTGTCGCAAGGACCGCAATCCTGTTCTGCTACTGCTGCCTTTTGCCTCTGCTGTCCTTGGCTCTCGGTCTCCCCCAAGGCCTATTCTCTTTCTCACCCTTTCCACATCATCGACGACTGTTTCTGTTTCGAGTAGCCCTTGACGACTTGAACGATACCCCTCGTCTTGGCACATCGCTCGCCTGTCGATTCTCCCAAACTCGCGACTCTTGAGCCTGCACACACTCCTGAGACCTGATCCAGCCTGGTCCAATCCCCCCAGAGAGGGAGGGGTCGAATACGAATCGCAATAAACCACACCACTACGCACACCACAGCACACACCAACGACACCTCCGCCGGCACCTCCCCAGCCGCAACGGGAATACGAACACAGCCCGCGCCCCGTCACCCTCTACCCTTTTCTCCTCCTGCCCTCCCCCAAAATAGCCCCGAACTTGGCACTATCTGCCTAACTGTCCGAGACCTCCAACCGCTTTGTCTCTCGTCCACCGCCTTGTCCCTCGTTCGACTGGTCGTTCGCGCAGACTAGTGCCTTTGGAACCTCTCACCACCCACGCCGTCCGACTGTTGCGACTTCTTCTTCGCGTCCTCGACCGCGCATTCTCTCCACTGGCGACGCAGACTTGCTTCTTCTGGCCCGCCAACGACACCACCACCCGCTTGCCGTCGAGGCTCCCGATCTCCCGCTCTCTCTCTTTCCCGCCTGTCTGTCCACGGCTGTGGACATCCCTCTGTCGCTTCCTCTGCACCATTGCACCCTACCCTAGGCGGAAGCCGAGACAATGAGTCGCTACCAAAATTACGACGATCCATCCTACAGCGAGAGGGAGCCCCTCGACAACAACTACCATCGCTCCCCCTCCCGGTCGCCGGCCCGCACCATGAACGACCCTTACTCGGACCCATATCAACAGTCGCAACAGCAACACTATGCGCCCCAGGGCTATCACTACGAGCAACCCCATCCCGAGTCCAAGTTTGAGCAACTCCGAGCTGAGCGCCAGTACAACCGCGACCACGCACAGACGCAGAGCCAGGGTCAAGGCCAGGATAGGTACGCATCCGATCAGCACCACCAGCAACAGCATCACCACGATCCCAACGCCTACGACCCTCACGCGCCCTACCCGCCCGCCCACGGCACCCACGGCAACTGGGGTGTAACACCAGGCGCCGACAACTTTGGCAATACCGCCGCCGGCGGCATGGCTGGCATCGCCTACAACGTCGCCGACCAGAACGCCCGTCAGTCGGGCGTCGACGCCATGAACACCGGCTACCCCTCTGCACCACAGTCTTCGCTCGCGCAAGCTGGACCCCCTGCTGGCGGCTACTACCAACAGCAGCGTCCCGCGCCCCTCGACCGCGACAGCCACTCGTCTCTGACGCCCCTCGGCGCTGCCGCCGCCGCCCCCGGCCAGGGCACCCCGTCCCGCAGCCCACTGGGCTACGGCGCCCACGATCCGTACAGCGACGACCCCTACCAGGGCTACTCGACGTCTCACCACAACCTCGGCGTCGTGAACCCCCACGACATTGCCGACGACGGCGACGATGGCCTCGGATACCCCCGCCCCCAGCGCAACTCCATGTTGAGTCTGTCGCACAGCGACCGCGGCAGCAGCGTTGCCGGTGGCGCCGCCGCTGCAGGAGGCGTGGCTGGTGCCGTCGGCGGTGGTCTCGCTGCCCGAAGCGCCGGTTCTGCCTCCGGCTCCGGCTACGGCCCCGTCCTTGGCAGCAGCGGCGGCAGAGGCGGTGCTGCGTATGATGGCGAAAAGTCGTCCGACTGGATGGAGGAGCAGGGCAAAGGCAAGAAGAAGTGGAAATGGGTCATTATTATCGTCTCCATTGTCGTCATTATTGGTGCCATTCTCGGCGGCACGCTTGGCGCCATTCTCCCGCGACAGGGCGGCGGCGGGTCAAGCAGCAGTGGCAGCTCCGGCAGCGGCCAGAGCGCCGACGATGACACGAAGGATAACGGCCTCCTGAACAAGAACTCGAAGGAGATCAAAGACCTGCAAGACTCGACAAACCTGCACAAGGTCTTCAGCGGCTTCGACTACACACCCCTTGGCGTCCAGTACCCAGAGTGCCTCCACAACCCTCCGTCGGCCAACAATGTCACACGCGACATGGCTGTTCTCTCGCAACTCACGAACACGATCCGACTCTATGGTGAGCAGCCATCCTTCTTCCCTCACGCGCCTTCGATCCACCGTGGACCTCTTGCTGACATGCTACAGGCAATGACTGCAACCAGACGGAACTTGTTCTGGACTCATTCAAGCGTCTCGAGATTGACAAGACGATGCGCCTCTGGCTCGGCGTCTGGCTCGACAAGAACGCCTCTACCAACGCGCGCCAGCTCGCCGAGTTCTGGAACATCATGGACACCTACGGCGACAAGCCTTTCGAGGGCGTCATTGTCGGCAACGAGGTTCTCTTCAGGGAGGACATGTCGCTGACCGAACTCGGCAACGTGCTCACCGAGGTCCGCGAGAACATGACGACCAAGGGCTTCTCGCTCCCCGTCGTGACGTCCGATCTCGGCCGCGACTGGGACGCGCAGCTCGCCAGCGTCTCGGATGGCGTGCTCGCCAACATCCACCCGCTCTTCGGCGGTGTGCAAGCGACGGACGCGGCGAGCTGGTCCTGGAACTTCTGGACCCAGAGCGTGAGCCCCGTGTTCAAGACGAACAAGAAGCTCAACATTGTGGCCGAGATTGGCTGGCCGTCCGAGGGCGGCGTCGGGTGCGGCGACCAGACAACGACGTGCACCAACGGCGCTGAGGCGTCGATTGAAGGCATCAACGAACTGCTTGACGACTGGGTCTGCCCGTCGATTGCCAACACGACGTACTTTTGGTTCTCGGCCTTTGACGAGCCGTGGAAGGCGAGGTTCGACACGCCCGGCAAGGCGTGGGAGAGCAAGTGGGGTCTTTTCGACGTCAACCGAAACCTCAAGAAGGGCATCAAGATCCCGGACTGCGGCGGCAAGACGATTGACTAGAGAGTGGGCGTGGCACGCGGCAGAGGCCGCTAGAGGGCTTCTCGCGACGTTCACGACACGTCCGGTTCGGTACGCACACGAATGGCCGTTGACGGAAGGGCATGGCATGTAGCGGTGGCAATCATCTTAGAACGCGTGCCGGGTTTCCTCCCCGGCCATCGGAGTATGACATGCGCCCCTGCTGATTGGCAGAGGGCGTGGTATAAACGATATCAAGGCGTTTTGTGTTGGGCATTTGTAGATTTAGCTATTGTCGGCATGGGGACCATGTTTGTCTGATCGTGGCAGACATGTAGCCCGCACATTGGGATTTCAAGCCCGTTCATTTATTAGGAAGCGATAATGGAACGAACGATTTTAGTGTTGACGATGGTCTGAATGCTGTGCCGTGCCTGTGATGTCCTGGCGATGCAGACTGGGTTGCCGGATTTGCAGCATGCTGTGTATGAGTCTTGATGCACTGGTGTAGCTGGTGAACTGGTCACGGCGGTTGAGCCTGGTACAGACGTGTTGCCTTGTCCATCACTTCCCAGGCATGTTGAGTCTCCACCACCACCACTACACTTCCAACACCCACACACCCTTTCATCAAAGCCGCAAGCTTCCAATCCATTCTTCCAAACCACATCCTCTCTTTTCACCTCCACAACCGTCATCAAAGCGCCTGAACTCTATGCGGCTATTCTGGCAGCAACCTCCCTGTTCGTCGTTGGCGCGACCGAGACGGGTCAGTGGCTGGTTACCCCGCCAAGCCCAACAGTGGCGCTCACCGCGGCGACTCCTGCGTCTTTCCTGCTTTCAAAGGGCGGCTCGCGATCCTCGCATCTCATCAAAAGGCTTCTTCTCAACAACGCCTACATTGAACGTAGAATACGGATATTACGACGGCGTTGAGGACCCGAGTCAGTACCGTCCGGGAGGTTATCATCCTGTTCAGATTGGCGACCGTCTTCACAGGCGACCGTCTTCACAAGCAATACCGCATCCTACACAAACTCGGCCACGGCACCTTTGCAACAGTCTGGCTTGCTGTTGATGAACAAAACTCCAGATACACCGCCATCAAACTCGGTACTGCGGATGCCGACGGGCAAGAGGAAGAATTCCTGTCCCAACTGACGAAACGTCTCGCTGCCACCGTTTCCAGATATGCCGCAACCGGAGCACCTCTGATCCCTATAGTTTTCGATCGCTTCAGCCTACATGGTCCTAACGGCATTCACCATGGTTTGGTCACTGTACACTGTACCGGCCAGATGCAGCTTGGCGGACGCAAGAGAATCATCCGATTCGAGATGATTCCGGCTTGACGTGGCCCGGTCGCTGGCAGCTCAGCTTGCTCTGGCCGTTTCTGCTGTTCATTCCCAGGGATATGTCCACGGAGGTGTGTGTCCTTTTGCATGCCGTCGCCGTCAAGAGTCTCATCGCTTCTGTCTATAGATCTTCATCTCGGCAACATCCTTCTCCAGCTGCCGTCTTCTCTCAACACGCTCTCTGTCGAGCTGCTGTATGCTCAGTTTGGGGCCCCGGAGCTCGAGCCTGTCGTGCCCCTCAAAAAGGAGCAAGCCTGTCCAGCAACCAGAGTCCCACCATACGCCGTACCGCCTGTGTGGCTGGGGATCGTAAGCGATGAAGTCCCATTGAGCGAAGCGAAGCTGCTGCTCAGCGACTTTGGCGGCGCCTTTCGTCCGGCCGATATCTCGCTTTCAATCCCACACACCACTCGTGATCCGCCCTCCCGAGGCATTCTTCGAGACAAGAACACCTCTTGGGTTTCCTTCAGATATATGGAGCCTTGGCTGTGTCATCTTTGAGCTCCTGGCCCACATGTCCCTTGCTTTAGGCATACTGACACCCCAGGATGAGATCACTGCACAACAGGTCCATCTTCAGGGTCCTTTTCCGTCGGAATGGTGGGATCGGTGGGACCAACGTGCCAAGTGGTTCGATCAGACGGGGAGGCCACTCAGCAACGACTGTGACATCTGGTCTTGGGACAGGCGATTCGAACAGTGGATCCAGGAGCCCAGAGAGTCTTGCGGAATGGAGGTCGTCACTGAGGAGGAGAAAGGCGCACTGTTCGAGATGCTGAAGCGCATGCTGGCATGGAGGCCCGGCGAACGACCAAGCGCGGAGGAGGTCCTCGGCATGCCTTGGATGAGAAAATGGGGTTTGCCAGCGTACGAGGAGAGTCTGCGTTCTTTGGCCAAGGATCTCTGAGCTATCTGTCTTTGAAACAGAACGAATTCTGAGGCACGGCCTCTAGCTCGATTCGGAACCCCGACCGATCTCTCCGGGGCGGTGTTGACCCAACATGGCCTGCGAATGCCCCGGCGACAATGTCAAACACAACCTGAATGGCCAGAGGTGACACAGTATTGACATGCGGGAACAGTGGCGACCATGACATTCGATCATTCATATTTTGCCCCGCTACTGAACAGCTTAGGTTTTGTTCCTCGTCACATGTCCCTTTTCATATGGACTACAAACTGCGTCCTATGTACATCACTACTGTATACAGCTTCCTGCGAGACAACACCCTGTACATCACCCGCTGCCGCTCCACAACGACTCAGCGGAGGAGAGCAGAGATGGTCGAGTTGGCGGGGCCAATGCAAGGACCAAGGTAGGTCGATGTCAGCGACGAGGTCGAGTTGCGGACGAGGTCGCCGAGCGCGGTGGTGCCGCAACGCAGCGCCAGCACGAAAGACTTGGCCATGGCGTCGGCGATGAAAGGTCCGGGGTGGAGGTGGTCAACGGGGTAGCCGGCGTTGACGGTCGAGGCGCCGAGGTTTCTCTGCGCCTGCGCGCCGTACTCGCCGTGGGGCAGGAAGTAGACGCCATTGGCGGGGCCGCCGAGCTGCTGGGCGGCGAGCCTGGTGTTTCTGTCAGCAGGCGGTCTTTCTGACTGACTGGGGCGTCGTTTGCGCGTGGGAAGACTTACCAGCCGTAGTAGTGGAAGCGAGGGGGAGACCAGGCGTACGAGCCGGTCTGCCAGACGTTCCTGGGGGTGGAGGTCGAGATGATGACCTTGGCGCCCTTGGCAAGCATCTTGTTGGCGGCGTTCTTCAGGTACTTGGGGAACGTGAGAACGGTCTCGGCGACACCGCTGCGAAACGTCAGCAACTTGATTCAAGCCTAAGTCCCAATACGAGGCACCTACTTGTACACGGTGCTGCACGTCTGTTCTCCGTCTCCGAAGCAGGCGGAGCGGCCGTTGTCGGTGGACAGGGAGCCACCATCGTTGTGGCCGAGCTCGATGACGACCCAGTCACCAGGCTGCGCAAGGTTGGCGACAGTGTCGAAGCGGCCCTCACGTGTGTACGAACGAGCGCTACGTCCGCCGATGGCTCGGTTGTCGACAATGGCCCTGGACGTCTGGAACGAGTACTGGAGGAACGCGCCCCAGCCCTGAGTCTGGCTGCTGGCGCCAACGGTGGCCACGGTGCTGTCACCGCAGAGGAAGATGGTGGGCACACGCGTCTGACGCTCCTCGAGGGCAGCAACGTCTTCAGTGGGCAGCGCAGAGGTCAGGCCGAGGCAGGCCGCGGCGGCGAGGAGAAAGTTGGCCCGCATGTTGGGCAGTCTGGTGATGAACAGGAGAGTAGTGATGAAAGACCCACTGGCAAACAAGGGGACTCAAGAGCCTTGAGAGACGAGGTGATCCGCGCATATTAATATATCGAGCCCCGTTCCATAGTACGTGGCAACTTTGTCGTCAACTGACTCTCCGATAGAGTTCATCATCAGCCGTCACAAGAGCAAGGAGTAGCACTCGGCGAACCATGGTCCGTATCCCTTCGCCCGCTCATGACTTCGCTCGAAGTTCGGCCGAGAACGCGGGGGACACTAACTGGCTTGGGGTTTTTGGCCCTGATTGATGTTGATGGGGGGCGCCACCACCTTTGTCCTGCACCATCACGAATCTGGCGTGAACTGACCGTTGACCTAGTCCCCGCGAACCAGCAAGAAGCGATCTCGGCAGTCAGGTTTCAGAGGCCGTGTGGGGAAATCGCGCCATGCCTCTTCTTGTTTTTGCTCGCTTTACCCCAGCCCGCCAGCAGGACGCCTCATGTTGTGACTTTCCCCCTTGGGAAAAGCTTCCTGTCTAAGTGCCGGAGGAACAGGCGCACCTCTCAGCGCAACGGAAATTCTCTATCGCGCAATCCCCCTCAAACTTTAGTCATTGGACTGCCCCGCCGGGTCCTTTCAGCCTCCTTGAAAGTGTGTTGGGCAACAAACCTGGGATCACCTTGCAGAGAGTGTTATCTTGATTGATTCCACGCCCTCTCATTTTACGCATGGCCCTGAGAATCCTGGATCCAAGTCCATGTCAGGCCCCGTCTCGTGGTTCCAGACCATGTGCTCGGGCGTACCCGTCGTCTGAAAGCCGGGCATCCATCATCTCCGTCGCCACGTCGCCCCGCTAAGGCCTGGAGCGCGCTTCTGGGTCTGGGGTCCCCTCAAAGTACCCCTTCATTTGAATATAGTGCTCCGCTTCAATGCGGAGCCATTTGGCTGAACAGCTGTCAGGTGGCGCGGAAGAAATAGCCCAATTCGTCTGAAGCCTGGCACCCGTCGCTGGAGTCTTGCCCGAAGTCGTGCTGAGGAGAAGACGGCCCTCGGCCGCGCAGAATGCCCAGATCTGGAGGAGACCTTTGACTGCTTCCCTCAGGTAAGAAGTTGCCGACTTGAGTCGTACAACACCTTTAAGGACAAAAGCCGCCTGTCCAATAGTCATTAAACCCGAGATATAGGGTCCTAGGAGAGTGGTATTCGGATGCGGCGGTGCAGAGCATCATTCGGAAAATAGGCTCGGGATCTGCGCCTGCTGCTGCCTCCTCGTGTATCATGACAGACAGTGAAGCGCTGCAGTATGAAGAGCCTCAGCCAAGGCGACAGGGAGTTCGGATTGGTCGGGCATGTACCCGGGGCACCGGCACTCCTGGATGATGGAGCGACTCCGCGCGGCTCGTCCTATATTTTAAGTTTTCAGATTGCTTTCGGTTGGCTCCGGGAGCTTGATGCTGGTTGACATGTGGCCTCATTCAGGAACAGGTACCTCGGCATAGCTGTTTCAGAGTACGAGTAGCGGCAAATAGTGGTTGAGAGTGCAGGACTGAGAGTGCAGGACGCGTAAGGTAGGCTGCAGGTTGATTGACGGGTCCTTGGTGATTCCTCGAGTGCAATCTGGCTTTTCGGCGTCCTTCCTCGTGCCACCTCCATGCCATCCGTCTATCCACCTAGGCACTCTGAGGCCTCACCAAAGGGCTTGCAACGTGCATGGAAACATGCGATCGTCAAGGCTCCAAAATAAAGAACCAAGCTGTCGGGCCCAATCAAGCCTAGGGAAGCCATTGCAAAGTGGCCTTCTGTCGATACCTAGGTCAGATGGGTGAGACATACTGTATGCCCAAAGAAGCCCCTGGCGTGTCTGCCTTCGACATGGCCTAAGACAATGTCAAAGGTCCAAAGATGTCAAGCGCATCACAGCTTTGGAGAATTCACGAAATGATTTCTGCACGAAAATACTGGAACGATAGTGTTGGTAATAGTGACCCCGCGTGAACGTGGACTTCCAACGGTACCGGACTTACAAGCACCATTGACAGTGGATTGATTTCCCATGATTCAAACGAGCTCGTCGTCGAGAAAGCACATTGCTGTTTCCGGATAATACTCAACGACATCACATATGCAACACATCCAATCAAGCCATAGTTGCAAGAACTTGAGATCGAATGGGGAGTACAGTCCAACATGGGTAGTTTCTCACAAGCCACGGTCGAGTCATAGGCATGGGTCGGCACCCGTATATTGCAATTATGCTGTTTTTTGATTTCTTGGGCCATTCAGCGCGCCGCAGCCCTCAATTTCATCGCGACTTCTCCTAGGGTTTTAGCCTACTCGCGTTCCAGAGATTCAGCCCTGACCAAAACACAAAACCCCGTAGGTTCATACTCTTATTGGATGGCTTTCAAAGGAGTAAATGTTTTGTGGCTGGCGACGGGTCGTAGTTGCTCCTTGGTTTTGCTTCTCATCTCTTCGCTGATGGTTGGTGCTTTGAGCTGTCATACGAGTTTAACTTCGTTGCTTCTTGCACGGGCTGAAGTTATCAGATGGGGGCACATAATGGGCTTTCATGGAAGGGACATCCTACCATAACTGAGATGAGGTTCTCCCAGATCAAGAATGTTCGATAGCCAGCTTCTGATCTTGGGTCGTTGCATATCCAAAGCAAAGGTGGCCATTCTTTCTCTAGAGGTAGTAGACCCCCGTATAAGCAAATGCGTATTGGCCTTCGCTCCACTAGCAGAAGACACGGTAAGAACTTAAAACAGGTTGGGCAAGAGAAAGACTTAAAGGCTAAGACAGACGATATGATATTTCAACCCTATATTTATTCAAGAATTACGGCCGCCCTAGACCTAGACTATTATCAAGAAACAAGCCGATGCACTTCTCAGCGAAGGATTTTACGCGAGCATCGCTATGAGTTCTTGTCTTCTCGATTTAACATCTAGCATTTAGTAAATCTGAATTGAATTTGGTTTGAGGTAGGTGCAGTTGGTTGGTCATCTTTGAGCAGCGTGCCCAAATAGCGTGCGTGGTCATCTGGTGAAAAGGAGTCCGACAGCGTTGTTGACTCAGCAACCATCTCGTGTATTCAGGCACCGTGCCAGAGTACCTCAGGTACCGATCTACCTTGTCATCCACAACATGATGCTGGCTCATGCTCTCTCAGTTTAATCACTGCACACTTACTCTCCTTAGCTTGGCAATGCTACATACCACAACAGGTGCAGCTAGTTTTTGCCTAGCGAGTCGTTCACATTCTCTCATTCATTTCCGAAATGTCTTTTTCAAAAACTCAAAATTTGAGATTTTGTTTCTCGTCGGTTTTCTCAAAACGCATGACGGCCAGCACCAGTTCTCGGTCGCCCTTCTCGACCAGGTCACACAATGAATCGCCCAAGTACAATTGGATTGATGGTGTCGAGCGGCTAGAACAGTACGAGCCTGGTGGCTACCATCCTGTCATGATCAACGACTTGCTTCACGGTCGCTATCGCGTGGTAGACAAGCTGGGGTTTGGTGGTTACTCAACAATATGGCTCGCTCAGGACGACCAACTGCGACGCTATGTGGCTGTCAAAGTCGGAGTCGCTAATCCAGCACTCTCTCGACATGAGCCCAGAATTCTTCGCGCATTGACTCGTCCAAGCTCAGCATCTCATGCTGCCCCAAAAGGTATCGATACGTGTGACGCCATACCAAGCATTCTGGACGAATTCGATGTTCAAGGCCCCAACGGGACACATACATGCTATGCAATGGCTCCTGCACAAGGAAACTTGAAAGAGGCATCTTTCAGTCGCCTTTTCCCTATTCAGGTCGCTCGGGCACTTGCTGCCAAACTGGCAATGGCTGTCGCCTTTGTACATTCGCACGGCTATGTGCACGGAGGTTTGTTTGTCAAGTCAATACCGGCCAAACGAGTCTAACCCTTTATAGATATACACCTTCGGAACGTCTTGGTAAAATTGCCATCGACACTCGACCAACTCGCAATCGATCAATTCAGGCAGAAGTATGGCGAGCCTGAGACTATTCCTGTTACCCGTGTTAATGGAGGGCCGCTTCCGCCCAACATACCACCTCGCGCGGTCGTACCGTTGTACCTCGGAAAAAAGGCTCAAGAATTCACTCTCTCCGATGCGCGTGGCCTTGTTCTTAGCGACTTTGGCGAGGCCTTCGCACCAGGCACAGAGCAGCGTCTCGGTAAGGACTGTAACACGCCTCTGGCAAAAAGAGCACCTGAGGCTCTTTTTGAACCCGACAGGCCGCTATCGTATTCGTCAGACATATGGAGTCTCGGGACTGCTATCTGGGAGATCCTGGGTATGAAGTTCATCTTCAGCGAGTCAGAAACACAGGATGAGATTGTGGCTCAGCAGATTGACGTCCTAGGTTCCCAAAACTTTCCCTCGAGCTGGCGGAAACACTGGGAACGAGCGAACACAGAGGAAGAGGACGGGATGGGAGAAATCCCATCTCGGCCCGTGGGAGATCGGGAAGCTTGGCCTCCTCTTGAAGAGGCGTTTGAAGAATTTGTGCAAAAATACAGAAGGAAACGAGAGACGGCAGGGACTTTTGAGGATGAAGAGGCGCGAGCGATCCTTGACTTGATGCGAGGCATGCTTAAGTTTTGGCCGGAGGAGAGATTAACGATAGACAAAGTACTTGAAATCTGAGTGGATGCGCAAGTGGGCGTTGCCTCAGTTGGAGTGACTGGCAAGGAGCAATCAATTGCCCGCGAAAGGTTGAATAGCAGAAGGAAGCGAAGGCACGAGTGTAGCAGTTGAAGCTTGAAACACCGACGGAAAACACAGCGCGACGAAGATGGCTCTTTAGTGCTGTCTCGATATTTCAGAAGCGAGATAAATCGACTCA